ATATCAAATAATTTATAAATATGAATAATTTTTTTCACAAGTTTTATAAATTTTTGTTAAATAATAAATAAATAATTACTGAATTTTTAATAAATAATCAATGAACTTTTAATAAATAATTTAATGAATAGTTACTGATTTTTTAATGAATTATTGATATATTTTTAATAAATAGGTTTGATAAATAATTATTGAATTTTTAATGAATAGTTGATAAATTCTTAATAAATTGTTAATAAATAATTTTTGTGATGAATTTTTAATAAATTTTTATTAAATAGTTATTTAATTATTTGATAAATTGTTAATGAATTTTTTGACAATTTATCGTTAAATTTTTAATTAATAAATTTTTGATTGCTGAATTTTTGATTGTCACTTTATTGCTGAAATAGTAATATGCTGAGTAACAGCAATCAAAAAAATTTTAGTAATATTTTTATTATTAAATTTAATCAAATTTGACAATAATTTAACTGCCAAATGACATAATTTCAACTAATATTGTATATTAATAAAGTGAAAACTAAGATTTGTTAATTCAGATCTATTATATAAACCAGCTACTAAAGATAAAAAATTGGATTTATATTTTATAGGAAAATTTGTGTATATAATCTTAAGATTATTAAGGATATGTTTAATTATTTTTGTATATTTTGAATATGTTAAATTTTTTTTTTTAAGTACCCATAGTCAGGCTAGATTGTAATTTATTAATCAATTAAAAATATAAGTACATTTTAATTTGAGCAGCATGATACATACTACAGCTAAACATTAATATCAAATCTAATTGAATATCATAGATAATAATAATCTTTAAGTTTGATTTTGGAAACAATATTTCATTTCATAGTGGACTTTGGATAAAGACCCTCTTAATTCACCATTTCATTATTGGCAGGTTGTCATTGCCAAAAAAAATATGAAAAATATTTTTTTCAATATTAAATTGATTAAAGAAATAATCATATAGTTGAGTTGGATTATTTCCTGATAAATGAGTAACCACATCATGTAAAATTGAAGTAGCAAGACTTTTTTGAGAAGGAGAATAAGAATTCAAAGGTAAAGAATAAGGATGAGAACAAGGTAATGTAAAAATATTTTTTCTTAAGTTTAAAGAAAGCATGGTTAATTAAAAAAAAGAAAATTTTTCAAATTTGCGAATGATTTGATCATCAGTCACATGATCAGACAATACAAAAACTTTGCAATACTATAGGTACATGTACCTTAACCCCTCCCCCGAAAAAAAATTCAACTAACGTTTTTGTCGCCTTCAAAAAGAATTACCCATATACAGTGATTGCTTACTCATTGGTATATTTTTTTAAATATAATTAATATAATTTATAATTTTATAATATTTATCAAATAAAAGAACCAATAATACTGCAAATATTATATGGCATGCATTATAACACGTATAACCAACATTTCGTGTAATCCAAGCTTTGCCCAAGTTTCGCGCAATTCAAAATTTGCGAAAATTCTGAAAGTGTGGATTCGAATTCGAACTCAACGAAAAATATTAGATCAGATCCTAACCGAAGAATTTCCGGTTTCTTCCAAGGTGACATTTTTATTATACGGTATTGCAAATGGCAGAGTGATATCACTTGAACAATAATGAAAGCCACACCTTTGATTTAATGACGGATATTCTTTTTTGTTTATATTTTACTGTGAAAAATATTCATCAACAGATTTCTTTGACTAGATTATTAGTAAATTAAATTCTACATTTGTTATAAAAAATATAAATGAGTATGGTTATTTGTTTATGAGAAGCTATGTTACGATGATATGATGATATGTCAAGTGACTAAATCTATATAAAATGGTCAAATGTAATTATACAGATATGCCCAATAATGTTATTGTTGATCCGCAAACCTGACACTTACAGGTGTGTTTGGAACTGTATGGTATAAAGGTGTAACTTTTGACGTGCCGGGATATTCTGCTGGCAAGGCATTCGGTATTGTTTCGGGTGCTGATCTATGGCCGAAATCATTATTCGCTTTATTATTGTTATTACTATAATTTTCTACTTTGGGTGACGACTTTATTAAGCGAAGAGGTATATCTGATGAAGGAGAATGGAGGCTTCCGGAATTCTCAGGAGAATCGAGGTAGGTCTTCGAAGAGGTGCTTATGTATATCCTGGTATCCTTGAAAAATCCCG